TGCCTCCTTACTCATGCTATCACCCAGTGTTGAGGTGGCCCATACCAGACAGCAACTGAAGTTTGATCATTCTAGTTGTAAAGTGTGTGGCAATGCAGGATAGTGTGTGGGCGCCTTAATACATTACGGTGACTACAGTGGGTTATGATACAGGTTTGCTGAAATTTGTTTCTCATTTTCCTCTGTTGCTATGGTACTCAATGTGTTGTAGTGATCTCAGTTTGGTTTCTCAAATACAGTACCATTATAATTAATCGATTGGATGGCAATACGGTAGGTTGAACTTCAGGGGAAACCCTGATTGAAATTTCTCAACTCTTGTGCAATTTCTGTACATGTAAGGGCATGAAATAAAATACTAAATATTTAAATATTTTAATTGTAGGTATAATAAATAACAACAATATCACAAAAACTATGCCCACCAAACTTTGGCATTATCTATATCCTGGGGCACAACGCTCTATGTACAGGTGCAGTGTTGCAATAATTGCACAAAATATGGAGTTTATGATATGACCAGATGATAAGTGATGATACATGAGATCAGTGAATGATGAACAGTAATACTACCAGGATTACCTTAAAATTACCATAAACATACACAAGTGACCTACGATAATACCATATCCAAGAAATACTTATGGTGAACACAGATAGTGTTGGATGATCAAATTCTCTATTGCACTTGTATAAAATGCATAATCCTCCTTTATAAACACAGTACCGTACAGTGAAACCTCTATTTAATGGACTATTTTTAGAATGAAGGCTGTTATATCAGGGATCATGTGTGAAAACCCCCACCTAATGAATTATATGGAGAGGGAAGTCTTTTTTATCGAGGTTCTTTTAGATACGAAACGCCCATCTAACGGACTACAGTATATGGAGGTGGAAGTCAGTTATATCGATGGTCCATTAAATGGAGAGATCACTGTAAAGATTTAATTCTCTACTGAAAATACGAAAGAGGATTCTGTTGTCTGTTGGGATTAAATGAGGATGTTATTAAAGATTCATAATACAGTACCTATATGTTTTGAGATTGAGATCAAATCCATCTTGATCTGTGAACACCACAATATGAGGAGTTGTACTCACTGGGTCTACCTTGACACCATACCAATCCCAAGTCCATAGAAGCTTGTGAATTTATATACTTACCCAAACAGAAAAAAATTAGATGCTGATAAAATAAAATATAATATATTATTAATAATAATAATAATAATAATAATAATAATAATTAGCCTTAGAAACCAATTACTGTACAGTAGAGTAATTTTCAATAAAAAAACTTGGATGAAGAACAGTGCACCCAAAAATAATCTTAAAGAAAACACCACAAGCAAATATTATTGCAACAAGACACTGGGTATGTTAGAGTGAGTACATCTCATCGGTATTCGATCAGACAAAGCATAACAACTACCTGATACATGACCCAATTGTTTATGTTCATCTCCGGTCAAGAACCTAGGCATTGTTCCTACCAAGGAGTCCCTATTTACTGTTCCCACCAAGGAGTCCCTATTTACTGTTCCCACCAAGGGGTCCCTGTTTAATGTTCCTACCAAGGGGTTCCTGTTACTACCAAGGGGTTCCTGTTTCCTGTTACTATTAAGGGGTCTCTTGTTTCCTGTTACTACTAAGGGGTCTCTTGTTTCCTGTTACTACTAAGGGGTCTCTTGTTTCCTGTTACTACTAAGGGGTCTCTTGTTTCCTGTTAATACTAAGGGGTCTCTTGTTTACTGTTACCATCAAGGGGTTCCTGTTTACCGTCACTGTTGCCACAAAGGGGCTTTTGTGTACTACTGCCACATGGGGTCAGACTGTCACAAAGCAAGTCAATTAGATGGTGTGACAGCTTGGTAATAAAAGAAAGTAGATAATGATTATGACTAAGGGTGGAGTAATTTCTTCTCTAATAACAAAATACTGTTAACTGTATTGTATTCCTATATGTACAGGAATTGAATTGCAAGACTGAGAAGCCTCTGAGGCCACAGTTCCCACACTTTTAAGAAAATATATGTCAAAACAATCCTACACTGCAGAGCACATTAATAACAATGTCAATATTTTCATTATACAACACATGCCTACTGATAAAGAGAAAAAGATGATAAATATACCAACGCTATTACGAAAGTTATGTTTGACCACAAGCCTAACTTATCATATTGTGTAATTCCTTACATATTCAATCAATTTATTTGAGTAGTGTTTACAAAGGAGTTCATTAAGATATGAGTCACAAGTTAAATACAGATACTATACTGTATTTGAAAAGTGCAACATGAGATTAGGGAATTTACCTATGAAAGTTCAATACTGTAATGCCATTTTTAATACCTGGAATGTATAAATCACAATTCTTAAACAATAACCATGTCTGTACTTCTCTGTTTACAATGTACAGTACTGTTCAGTATATCATAATTTGTAATCTTCACAACCCGAGAACTTATAATTTTTGTGAATGAATTCAGTTAACTGTGTAGCTGAAAGCATAAAAGCAAGACCAATAAAAAGTAAAGATGTTATCATAAGAGGATGTAAAAGAGGTAATAGGAACTGTACATAGTGAGCATGACAGTAAGAAAATATACAAAGTAAAGTCCAGTATTGTATCACCAAAAGTTTAGAGAGTGAATATTTTCAAAGAAGACAAATCTTATAGGAGAAAATTAGGTCAGTCTAGCTTCTCTTCACTTGACATACAGTTTACTAACTATATCTATCTGAGCTGATACACCTCTAACTTTATGGTGACCTTCAAAGGCTGGCAGGCACTAGCAACAGCATTCTAGTGTTTATGATCAACATTCCACAAGGTATATTTATCACTCCTTTCCTCTCTTCATGCATGTGTTTGCATACTTAATTTAAAGAATATGTGCATAAATCTTTTCTACACACCTATCTAATGCCAATATAGTACTACATCAAGAGCTGGCAGACGCTTGCCCCACAAGGGGTCACAGCTCAAGATTGAAGAAGCAGCAGGTCCAGAAAACTGTGAGGGCAAACATTTTCGGAGTGAGAATTGTGAACTCTTGGAACAATCTATCGAGTACCAGAAAGTGTTGTGACGGCACCGAATGTGAGCTTTTTCAAGACCAGACTTAACCAACACTGGAGCGGGTTCAGGTACATTCAGGAGCCGGTGTATGCCCAGTACTTGCCAACAGTGCGTAACAGACACGTGACTGATCGCCCCCAAGCAGCTAACGAGCCGATCAATTGGCGAAGAGAGTAAAAGAAAAAGAAAAGTAACAGAGACGTGACCGATCGCCCAAGCGGCTAACGAGCCGATCGGTGGTGAAGAGAGTAAAAGTAAGATAACTGAGAAGAAATGGACTGCTTTAATAAAGCACACTGACTGTGATACAAAATTAGGTACTGTTGTAAAGTATTAACTTCCATAACATCATACTGCACTAAATCATTTCCCTAGGGAGTTTTAAACATAATCAGTTGGATCAGGTTAAACTTTTGCTTACGGAAAAAGCTTTTCCAAATACTGTACAGTATATAGCAGACTTATTGTAACATAAAACATAGGTGACACATGGTTCTTGTAGCATGAACCCTTTCACTATGGGACAACACTTTTAATATTTCATTTGGCAAACACCAAACAATTTTACTCAGCAAAAAGAGACCCTTTTGTACCCAAGGAGTTGAAAAGATCACAGGTTAAGTGTACCCAACCCATTTTTACTTAGTAGTACGGCTCAGTCGAAAGGGGCTCCAATCATAACGGAAGGTTATAACTTGCAGCCCTTAGCAATGGTGTAATAGTGTGTAGAACTATTGGTACAATGTCATAAGAAACTAGTGGGTGACAAAATAGAACTTTCTGGTATAATGTGTACTATAATCCTACAGTGGCTGTATGGTGCACCTTTCATGTAGTACTGTGTAATACTTTTATACTGGTATATAATGCATCTAGTCTAATATATTGTTGTTTTGAAACAATAAATAGCACATTTTATGTAAATTAAGCAGTTTTGGGTGACAGGTAGCAAATTTATAGAACAGTAAACCCATATTATTTGTTCTCCTCTAATTCAAAATTACTCATAATTCATGATGTTTTGCTGCTACAAAACATATAATACAAATTTGGTAAACCTTGGTAAAATTTCAAAATATGAGACATTTTGAAATATTACTATATATATTAAAGTTTTCGTAATATTTGGTCAAATTTCGAATAGCGAGACATTTACGAATATATATGATGCAACCACCGACTGCCCATCTGTGTAAACAAAGTACAGGTACTATACTATACTCATCACGCATGTCGGTCACAGTCAGTTCATGTTGGTCAGTTGTGGAGTGTACATCTATGGTCTAACGCACAAGTTTTTTTCCACTTGTTTTTCCATCATTGCCCAGTGTTTGAGCCATTATATCTGATAACCATGGACTAAGCACCTAAATCTGGTACTGTACAGAGGTACTGTACGTAGAAACGTTTAATTTTTGATATGAGGTGCTCCTCATATTTTGTAAAATTTCATCATTCATAAGGGCTAAAGCCCCAATTATTTCAAATTATGGGAATTTTACTGTACACAGCATGCAAAGTAAAATATAGCACTTGTGATACAAATGTCATGAACACTACAGTAATCATCTTCACTCTTTTTTGGGATCACAAATGGTTGCTTTAAAACTAGTAATCAATCCTCTCTATGCCAGCTTGAATATGGTGGTTATCCTAAACTATAATGTCTGTAATGCCCATTATCACTAAGGTCTAATGTTTCTTTCAATCATTGAAGTCCACAATACAGTCTTTGCCTCAGTGACTCGCAAAAATTATTATTATTATTTTTGCTTTTTTTTTGTGCAGCCACAAGATGTTCACCGTCTTCGAGGGGGTTGATGTTTGTACATGTGAAGTCATCAATTAGGGGTCATTAAAAATTCTTGTCTAATGTATATTCACATCCAAGTTGTCTTCACTGATTTTTTCATTGTTCTTTCATGTACAAGCCACTCTGAGTCACTTGATTTTCCTTTATATTATGTGTTTTGTTTCTTAGGCACTGTACTGTATTCTGAACTGATCCATTTCACTAAATAGCATCTTCATGGAAAATGCAGATGACTATTTGGTATTTTCATTTACTCTTTCATGACAAAAAAATAATAATAATAAAATCCAAAGAAGGTGGGCTGATATTCATGTGATGAATGACTTTGAAAAACAAAGGTTTTGGTAATTGTGTCAAAAACAATAACAGCTTTGAACAAATATCTGGGCAGCTACAGCTGGTACTGGCCAAGGGAAACTCATTTATTTTACCAGAACCTGATGAACTTGAAATAGCAAACAAGGCACATCACTGGCAAAGGTCACTTCATATGATGAAATTCACGTTATGAGGTAAGATCATGTTATCAATTAAGGCCACGGTCTTCAACAAGTTTGCATTATGCGATAAAATGAGGTCACATGATGAGATAAAACTATATTTGTTCTATACCACATTCATGTGAAACCGAGATGGGATATAAATGTGTAAAGTTTAATAATGAATAGAGTCCATTATCTAATCACAGTCTCTCTCATCAGAGCCGTCAGAACACTCCACAAAACCATTGCAGACATTGGAGTTCGGGAGGCACTGACCGAGGGGACAGCGGTGGCCCTCACACCTGGCTGGGACTGGCACCACCAGGTTACTCTTGGTCAGCTCCATCACCTGCAGGTAGGATTGTCAGCAGTTTATTAAAGAGTACTGTACATCTTTACAAATGTCTCTCCCCACTAATTCAAGTGGATTTTACTATTAACAAAACTGTATCTTAATAAGGTAGGTGTACCTTACTCTCTACATCTTAATAACAAGGGTGTACCTACTATCAATACACCTATATTTTAATAATATTGTTTATGTTTATACTACCAAGAAAGACTAGAATGCTCATGATTAACTAGTTTAAACTACAGAGGAGCCTGTGGGTCACTATGTTGTCAAATGACCATGTCAAAGATTAGCCAGTGGCAACTCCACAATAGATTGTAGTACTGTACTGTACAGTACTTAGCAGGTAGTGAAGGAATAGTGTCTGTGGGGTGAGGAACAAAGGCTGCACTCACCTGGTTCATCCAGCTGAGGTACTTGACCACCTTAGTATATACTCCTGGCCGGTGTGGGCGAGCACAGCCATATCCATTGCTGGTCACCCCCACCAGCTGCCATCCTCCGTCAGGCTCCTGAAACACAATATGGATTTAATAATATCGAGTCCCTGTATTACAACACAATTCATTTACCAGTCATCTTAGTACAGTATGCTCCCTCAAGGCTTTTGTATTACTACACACATTTTACATTTCCAACTGCTTTACTTTGCATGTTTCTTAATATTTACACTGATTATATATACAGTACTGTATAAACAAAAAATTGGTTACATTTGTGGTGTCCTGGTGTGGGGTTGGAGGGAATAAAGTGCCTCACCAGGAATTCCCAACAGTATCATTATACATGTACAGTAAGTGCTGTTGATGACAGTGTTCTATGGCTCCAGGTAGTGATATTGATACTGTTTGAGTTTCAATGTATGATTTAGAATAATATCATAAATCAAGCAGACAAGCATTTGACTGTGTTGAGAAGTGTTCCATCTTTCCCTGTTTTGCACGATGTGACCTTGACTGATGGTCTTCTGCAGGGCCAGATTAACCAAAAAGCTAATAAGGCTGTAGCCTTAGACCCTCATGATATTTAGGCCAGTGAGTTTAGGTCTTAATTTTTGTTTGTTAAACTTAAATCTTGGTCAAAACTTTAATAGGTGGTCAAGTAAATGACTTTTGTTATGTTTATTAAGGCTCTACGGTTATTATATGCTAGATTAAAAACCCCCTTTTTATGCATACAGTATTTAGTATGCAAAGTCCTAAATCGACTTTTCCTCTGCAATAAACTGTGCTTCAACAAATGCATGTAAATTTTGATGATTACGAGGCTTGGGGGATGAAAGAACAGTGAACCAGGAGTATAAATCAGCCAAATGCCAGAAAAGACAAAAGACAAGTGATGACGCAACTTCAAACACATTTAACACCAAAGAAGCCTTCAGAGTTACTTTACTTTTATCCTCTTCACCACTGATCGGCTCGTTAGCCACTTGGGCGATCGGTCAAGTCTCTGTTATGCACTGTTGGCAAGTACTGGGCATGCACCAGCTCCTGCATGTACCTGAACTTGCTCCAGTGTTGGTCAAGTCTTGTCTTGAAAGAGCTCACACTCGGTGCCGTCACAACACTTTCGGGTAGATTGTTCCAGTTCACAGCTCTCACAATGAAAAAGTTTGCCCTCACAGTTTTCTGGAACTTGTGGCTTCTTCAATCTTGAGCTGTGACCCCTTGTGGGGCGAGCGTCTACCAGCTCCAAGTAAGAACACTCGACTGAGTAGTGCATCTTGAGATGCTTACACACCTCAATTATGTCACCCCTTGCCCGTCTGCAATATAAGCTAAGCAAGTTCAGGCGCTCCAATCTCTCAGGGTAGCTGAGGTGCTGAAGTGCAGGCACCAGTCTGGTGGCTCTCCTTTGAACTCTTTCAACCAACTGACAGTCCCTAGCATATCTCGGGGACCAGACGGGGTGACAGTACTCCAGATGGGGAAGCACTTCACTCTTGAAGATCGTTACGAGGGACGGACCGTCTAGATATCTGATCGACCTTCTTATAAGACCCAATAATTTATTTGCCTGATTTACCTTCTTCTCGCAATGGCCCGAGAACTTCAGCTCATTGTCAACATACACACCTAGGTCCATCTCACATTCAGTCTCAAATAGTGCAGTTTCTTCATCCTGTTGGGACATATGATACGCCTCCTTACTGTTGGTAAGTCCCAGGTGCAACCTCTTACACTTCGTGACACTGAATCTAAGCAGCCATTTCTTCGATCATTCTTGGAGCCCACTTGGCGTCATCGGCAAACATTTGTATGGAGGAGTGTACAACGTCAGGCATGTCATTTATGAAACAAACAAACAACAGCGGGTCCAATACACTGCCCTGTGGTACCCCACTTGTGACAGGTACGGATGATGATTTTGTGCCATTAATCACCACACACTGCTTGCGGTCATTTGGAAAGTCTTCTAGCCACGCTAGGACATTTCCCCGAATTCCATACCCTTCCAGTTTGATTTTCAGCCTTTCGTGGGGTACACTGTTGAAAGCCTTGGTAAAATTTAGGTAAATATTGTCGATATTACCACCCAGTTCCAGAATATGGGTCCAAATATCTACTACCTTGAGCAATTGTGTTAAGCAGGAGCGCCCCGGCATAAAACCGTGTTGGCAATCCTTTACAAGGTTGTTTCGTAGTAGATGTTCCATCGCGGCATCTCTGATAATACTCTCAAGTACTTTACATATGCTGGTCAGGCTCACGGGTCTATAGTTGTTTGTGGAGAGATGATTGCCCTTCTTGAAGATAGGACTCACATAAGCAACTTTCCATTCACTGGGGACCTTTTGTTCATCCAGGCATTTACAAAACAGGATCTTCAGGGTTTCGGCAAGCTCGTTGCACAACTCTCTTAGCACTCTAGGATGCACCATGTCAGGGCCGGGACTCTTATGGGCCTTTAGCTTTGACAGTTTATTTCTAATACCCTCTTCTGTGAACACAATGTGGGTCTGTGCTGTGTCGAACCGTCTGTCCTCAAACGCAGGAAGGTTAATCGCATCCTCTCTTGTGAACACCGAGGAAACGAAGCTGTTCAATGCCTCAAGCTTTATCCTAGACAGAATCTGCGTAACTACCATCTTCAAGCCTCAGGTCTGATACTCCTACTTGCGTATTTAATTTCGACTTTGCATAGCGGTAAAACGCCTTTGGGTTTGAAATGACCCCGCTTGCAACCAGCCTCTGGAACTTCTTTTCAGCCCTTCTATATTTTATCTTTGCTTGGTTTCTGGCTCTTGCATACATCCTCCTGTCCTGCTCATCATTTGACTCAACACACGTCTTGAATTTCTGGGTTTTCTTCTTGACCTTGTCGACCGCCGCATGGTTCATGCGTAGGGATCCCCTCATATTCCCCTCCATAAAAAAAATAAATAAAAGTTTTTTCATATGGCAATGATTTAGTGATTGTATGCCTCTTGTATAATTCTCAAGATTCTAAGCCCCAAAATTGGAGGTAATACCTCCGTTTCCCAATACAGTTTAATCCAACAACTGATATATACTGACCACAGTATTCATTAACTATATAGTATATTACGTGCCAAATTTTCACCAGTAGCTGAAATGTCCACACAATGGATTTCTGCCAGCATAGTATTTGACAAAATTCAGCGATATTTTGCAAACGGTGATGATAACAACAGTGTACATTAGTAAATTTTTCTCAACATGCAACATACACCAAACTTTGCCATTTTTTCCCTAACAATCAATAACACAAATGGAAAGGTAACAAGAGTGTGGAATACATACCTGACACATGAGTGGTCCACCAGAGTCACCAAGACAGGCATCTCGACCACCACGGTCGTAGCCGGCACAAAACATGTCCTCAGTGATACGATAGAGTGGGATGAATACTGTCCGCTTGCGGCACTCTGATGTAGAGATTAATGGTACCTGCACCTCCTGCAGTGTGTCAGCTGTAACCATCATAAGAAATAGTAAAATAACAGGCAAATACTATTACTGTACTGTATATATGATTCTAGTCTTTTTTGTTATAATGCTGTACATTTATTGTGGTTGTTAACAATACATTTTGCATTGTACTTAAAATATTTTTAAGATTGTTAAGGTAGTAGGTAGTAAGGCAGCTACCAAACAGGGAGGTACTACTGCCTGGAAAGATATTGGAAGCATAATGTGTTGTCTAATGGTAGACCCTGCTGCCATATGGCATCACAAAAATTGTGACCAAGTCCCAGGTTGCTGATCTGATTTTCTGCCTCATTTACACACAATTGAAGGGTCTCAATTGTTACTCTTACTTTGACAACACAACATACATACTGTATATCGTTTCTCACTATTAATTTTTATTTTATTTATATTTTTTTAATGTTTTTTATTATTATTATTATTACTGTATTATTATATATATATTTTTTTTTATTATTATTATTACTATTATTATTTCACCCTCCAGGCCCTGATGTGGGTCATTGACCTGTGCCCTGGTGGACTAATCCCATAAAAAAAAAAAATAAATATGCAATATAGTGGTTGAAACAGTCCACACTCACGGAATATTTTGCCAACTTCAAACAGTTGTCCCCAGCCCACAAGGGTACACAGGCGACCGTGGCGGACTGGTGAGCCTGGGGGCGGCAGACAAACAGGACGAACATAGTCTGTGAACTTGACTGGTTCATCCACCCGCAGAAGTGAGATATCGTTGATGAAGCCCGTGTCCTCATACCTGTAACACACACACACACACTGTGAGGCTCAGTCATGTCTCAGCCTACTAGTTTTATGCATGTCATCATCTTTAAAGTACTTTTTTGGCCGAAAATACGTTTTCTCTCTGAACTAAAATTTAATGTGCCTAACTATTTAAGTACATCCAGAATAATACACAAGCAACAAGAAATTACCTCGAAAACCCATAAGTGGCGAGTAATTAGCATTGCAAAAGTAATTAAAATATTCTAAAAATCATTTGAACATTTTCTAAAAGCCATTTGAACAAGTTATAATCAAGATATCAAATTTTGGTTAACAGATCCTTAAGCAGCACATTCAGGAGTACCTATACTGAAATTTTGAACAAAATCCATTTTTTGGCCGAAATGACAAAAATTGTAAGTTTAAGCCTTAAAGGATTTTTGGCCAAAAATACTTTTTCTCTCTGAACTAAAATTTAATGTGCCTAACTATTTAAGTACATCCAGAATAATACACAAGCACCAAGAAATGACCTCGAAAACCCATAAGTGGCGAGTAATTAGCATTGCAAAAGTAATTAAAATATTCTAAAAATCATTTGAACATTTTCTAAAAGCCATTTGAACAAGTTATAATCAAGATATCAAATTTTGGTTAACAGATCCTTAAGCAGCACATTCAGGAGTACCTATACTGAAATTTTGAACAAAATCCATTTTTTGGCCGAAAATGACAAAAATTGTAAGTCTAAGCCTTAAAGGATTTTTGGCCAAAAATACGTTTTCTCTCTGAACTAAAATTTAATGTGCCTAACTATTTAAGTACATCCAGAATAATACACAAGCACCAAGAAATGACCTCGAAAACCCATAAGTGGCGAGTAATTAGCATTGCAAAAGTAATTAAAATATTCTAAAAATCATTTGAACATTTTCTAAAAGCCATTTGAACAAGTTATAATCAAGATATCAAATTTTGGTTAACAGATCCTTAAGCAGCACATTCAGGAGTACCTATCAGGGCTGTGGAGTCGGAGTCGGAGTCGAGGAGTCGGAGGAAATTTCGGCTTGTGGAGTCGGAGTCGGTAAAATTGTCCAGACTCCGACTCCGACTGAAGCTATTCTGTTCCTAAGAACAAATATATGAACTCAGGCATATTCATTGCAGTGATTCCACTGATCCCACTAATTTTCTTAAATTATTAAAAGAATTTATTTCCATTTTATAAGCATTATTATGAATTTATTGTAGCAGGCACAGTATAGCACTATAATTTTGGACGATAGTCTCTTCTTTACCATTTGAAATTTTGAATTATATCAAATTTTGTTTCGTTGAAAACTGCACAGAGGCTCTCAGCTACAAAACAATTAGCTACAACCTGTTTTTGGTGAGATTAAGGCAAATTTAATTTAATAACTTAATCATGTAAGGTTTATCCATTTTCCTTAATAAGGTATTCATTTCTTTAATGTACATAAATATATAACTTTACTTTAAAAGGAATTGTAGGATCATCATTTAGATCCACATCAGATTATGAGCTTAAACAAAATTCATATGCTGAGATCGAACTTTTAGATATACATGTAAATGGTGTTTTCTAGTTAATATCTTGAATTCTTAATAAATTTATTTTTCTTTTGATTGAAACTTTGAAAGTCAAGCCTATCATCTTTTTGTAGTTCTTAAATATCGTCCAGATCATTAATAAAGCTGTAGCAGTATAGCCACGGTGTTTTACTTTTTACCTATGCAGGTTACAACATACAAATTACAAGTAGGATGGTAGAAATAGTTGTTACAAATAGGCCAAGGAGTCGGAGTCGGAAGCATAAAAATTTGAGGAGTCGGAGTCGAAGGTTTTGTCTTCGACTCCACAGCCCTGCTTACCAGTTTTACCTCATACTGTACAGAATTTACACCACCCAACATTAAACTCACCCAGTTACTACAACCATCTTATAAGTTGATTTACAACACTTCCAAAGTACCAAATACATACCTCACACTATCACCACACTTACCACTCACTAGAATATTGTGATCCACTTACAAAGTAAACTAAATCACTGCTAAAGAATAAAAAACACCCACTTACACCAAATTCATCTATAAACTGTAATCAATTCACTTCCAAAGTACTGTTGTAATATACCCCATAACCAATTAGTTAATGTAATACTGTATATCATCTTGAAAGTATTCAACAGATACACCACACACAAACTAGTGTGTGAGAACTATATAAACTCTGAGAAACATTGGAAAAATGTGAACCTCGAAGAAAACAAAATTACAGTACTATCTAAGTGTTATGCAAGGTGAATGGTTATGGCGAGAGTGTACCACTATTCATGATGACAAGTGTAAGAGAAGGTGTATTAGTGAGAAGTGATATACAGTACTTACTCGGGATGTATGAGAGAGAAGTGGTGTACTTACTCGGGATGTATGAGAGAGAAGTGGTGTACTTACTCGGGATGTATGAGAGAGAAGTGGTGTACTTACTCGGGATGAATGAGAGAGAAGTGGTGTACTTACTCGGGATGTATGAAGATGTGGGTGATGTGTCGCAACTGCTCGTACGGTGAGGGGAACTTGGTGCCTCGACGCAGCGCTCCCAGCCGCGCCACCCAGTACTGGTTGGTTGCCCTGCACCATGAGAAGATGGTGTTAATTATGTACAGTTATGAACATAAGTATTCTGGAACCAGTACTTGCCAACTATGCGCAACAGAGACGTGAATAAGCTCCCAAGCTGCTAATGAGCCGATCAGTGGTGAAGAGGATAAAGTAATAAAGTAATGATACACTTAGTGGTGGCCCATGGTGAGATGTGGCAACTCGTCTACAGTAAATAAACCTTTAGAATTATTATTATTATTATTATTACTATCATTTTTTTTTTATGCATGAACAGCTGTTTGTAATGGTTGGGTGATTGGTAGACTAATGAGTTACCATTTACCTTAGTTTACACCTGCATGAGATAAGGAATAATTGAATGTAAAATTAACTACCCACAACTCTCATTGAGAAACAAACATATAAAATTAAACATAATGAAACCCAAATGCATCCAGTGGTGACATTGTCTCTTTGTACAGTCTCATTCAAGATTCTTCGAACACTGCTGGAGACAGCTGGCAAAACAAGGCCGTTTGTTTATGTCGTAATAATTATGAATAAATGTAAAAGTGATCGGTGATTGGTTACTTAGTTCCTCATTGTATAATTTACTGGTTGGGCTTTGCTGTTTCGTATTATATTATACTACGTACTATAGTAAACAAACGGCCTTGAGTTGCCAGCTGTCACCGGCAGTGTTCGAAGAATCTTGAACAAGACTGTACAATCCTCTAACACACAAAAGTGGCTCAAGCAGATCATCCTTACTGTATCTCGGTGGTGACAAGATTCTCTTCACTCTAACACTCTACCCCATAGCACCACTTGTTTTGTTGTCCAAGACCTATTATAACTATCAGCCATTCTCTTATAGGCTATATCTTTGCTAGGTTTACATGTAAAGGGTAATGAAGCACTAGGGGTAAGGGAAGACAGGAAATATTCAATATAAACCAACAGAAAAATGAAGTCAATGGTGGGGAAGGAGGACTCACCCGAAGAAGCAGTGGCCTGCAGACACAAGCCAGCGGTGGTTGATGAGGGTGGCACCACACTGGTACTCGCCCTCCTTGTAGAGAGCTGCATGCCATGGCCAGGATCCAGGACCACTGTTGTTACCACCCACAATCCTGTCCAGTAAACATAGATATTATACACTCTCTAACACATTCAACAAATTACAATAAATATTATGATATCAGTACAAATCTTTCTTCTTTGGGAACTTCAACATGAACATATTCTGTACACACCTGACACCATGAACAGAGGCAAAGGGAGGGAATTTTGAATATTTACTGTAATAATGCAACAGTATAACATTGTGTAGAGTTATGTGCATAAAATTACACAAATATCTGTACAGGTAGTTAGGAAACTAAGAGAATTCTGACAATTTGGTCACATCAACACGGTGCCTTAGAATTATCCCAGGAATACACCCTGCAATTTACTGCACATACTTGAGAATCACCCTGTATATTGAAATAGCCTGTATATATTGTCTAACTCAAACACTAAATTACATTATGCAGTATGTTCCTAATATACAGTAATATCTCCGTTAGCCAGAATTCCTCAAACCCGGAATTTAAATTTTCTCGGAAAATCGTTTCCAAAGCCGTAATTTTCTGGAAAATTCGGGCATTGGGAAAGATTTTCCGAGGGGCACATTTTCTGGAAAATTCTGAGAAAATTTTCCCGATACTCAGAAAATTCCGGGGGTGAGGGATATTTTTCTGGGTTCGAGAGAGTCGTCTTGTTACCCGGAAATCTCTCATTCCCGGAAGCGCTCTGCACCAATAATTCCGGCTAACAGGGATATCACTGTATTACAAACCTTTCTTATTCAGGCACTTCCATACATCCTCACTAAGTTACCAAGTACAATCCTGTATTAGTGTCAGTCTTTCTTATTAAGGCACTCACAATCTACGGTATCATACCGTTTTACCTATTACTGAACCAACATATCTGGTGACCCATAACATACTGCATTAGCAGGATGCCTTTATACTTCTTTTTTTTTTCACTGGAAAAGTGAAACTGTGCTCTTTCTTTCAAGTTTCTTGATGGCATCATTTTGACAATGTAATTTTTATAGCATGAAAGTCACTAAGTTTATAAAGCAAGTAAGAAAACACAAACAAAGCAAATGTTCTACCTTTACCATATACTAAATCTTGATTAGTAGACCAAAAAGCTCACAGACATAAGCAAATAAATACAAATTACCATGTCACAGACATAATAAGCAAACATAAACAAATTACTGTGACATCACAAAGCATAATTCTGTTTGGCATTTCTTTATTTTACTCTCATGCTCATCCTATGACACTCCTGGCTACAACTCAACAGTAATACAGGTACTTCAGTGGTGGATCTACTGTCTCCAGATAAGAGAGGGGGTGGAGGGTTTCTACTGTCTTACGATAAAAAATAAATCGACCTCGCCTTTTTCCGGGAGTAATTTCAATAATTTCTAGTACCAAAAACATACGAATTAATGCTTTTAAACTGGATGGCCATGAGATGTACTCTAGATTGGTGATGGAAGTTGGGTAACCTCTGCTTTCCTCCTTAACCCTTTGAATACACAACAACTTAACCCTTTGAATATGATACCAATTCCCTGACTACAATGACTTAGCATATTTAGCAGGACATTTTCAACCTTTGAAAGCAGTGAGGACTAAATCTTAATCCTTTAAATATGATGACCTATGCCTTTGAGTAATGTGTACAATGACTTGGTACTGAACGACTATCTCATCTACTCAAGGGGCTAAAGAACCATGGGTTTGCTTTTGATTCTTCATTGCAACACCGACCAAGCAGCTTCCTGGTACAGCACAGTCAGATGTGGGTGTTGTGTTCATGTTTTCTGGTTATCACACTTATAATTTTCTCTGGTCTACTTTACAATAAAATTTATAACTGAAGACTAGCAGATAATACTCCATGTATGGGCTTAGCAAAAAATAAAATCTATGTAGGAAAACTTGGTAAACCACAAAATATATATGGGGATTTATCACACATGAGGTGGATGTTGTACTCTTGTGATTCAATACTCAAGTTAATTCAGTATTTCAGGTTATATACAGATACAAGCTCATGAAACAGACCGTGGGCAATGCTGTACTACTCATACACCTGCTGTGGTGAGTACCGGTGACCTCTATGTTGTTTATACATTGTCATCCTTAACAGTTCAACACTTTTTACTTCTTTAGTTACAAAAAATAAAGGAAATATGACCTCCCATAAACATGCAAGTAAAATTTGACTTTGCTTTGAATATGAAATTAAAAGATAAATTAAAAAGAAAATCAAGCAAACCAAGAATCTCCATAGAGTTAAGACAACTACTTTTTGACATTATCATTCTACAGACCGAAATGCCTAATTTGAACTACCAGAGGCATTAATCTGGAGTATAGGCTAAACTTAATATTATTAAGGAGTGTGTTAAATAATATCACAGTTTCATTCCAGATGACAGACCCTGTAGTGTACATAAGACCCAAATGATGAACAGCACTAAGGAGGGTCTCATAAATGCATTGCTTAGGTATTAGTGTTAGTTTTAGGGTTCCAATAAGAGCACTGTACTGTATTCATTAAGACAGCCTGACTATCCCAGTGTGATATGTTTGCAAGAGGCATTTCAGGGAGAGAGTTAGTCAAGCCAGCTTTTACTCTTCTAGTATATGACAGGCTGTCAAAAGAAGTGTCAGAGAGACTTGACAGCTTGATTCTCTCTATGACAAGTTAGCAAGAGGAGTGTCAAGGAGAGAGTTCATCAAAACAGTCGGACTCTCAGAATGACAGGGTAGGAAAAGGAAGGCAAGGAGTACAGTAGTTAGCCCTGATTTCTGGGGCATGGTTCACACAGCACAAGGGAAAGAGTCAAACTGTCAGTAAGCTGTAAAGCAAAACTGTTAAACACACATACATGCTTAGAAGCTGTTGTATGCAGTAAAAACTCTGCCTCCACATTCCCCCACACTGTGTTAATTGATACACACATACTAAGCCTCAGTAATTAATAAACACTGATTCAGATCCCTCAAGCCATTAATGTTTTTGCTAAATGAATTTTTATTTTTATAGAAAGTGATGTGGAAAAACTTTAAATATACAACAAAGGGGAACTAAGTACAGTAGATGTAAATTAAAAGTGAACTTGAAATAGCATCATTCCAAATTTTTATGATTCACAAGTTTTTATGCAAAATTTTAAAACCTCCCTGATGAATGATGTGGAGAAAATAAGTACAGGTATGTACTGTAACAAGTATGGGAAAATGAGGAAGCTGAGCAAACTGTGTGAGATAGAAAAAGGACAGCCACACAAAGAATGTTCCCGAAAGAAACCACCGAGATCATGTCTGGCCAAGTGATGACACAACTTTGAGGGAATTAAAGAATATTTACCGGGTACTTTACTTATCTACCTTTTGACCAAGTTAATCATACCAAGCCTGAACTAACCTAACAGAGATCAAACAATATTCCCGTTGTGAGATGGGATTAAGTTATGTTGGTTGTAAAGTGTGTGACATCATAGCCAGATCTGGTAGTGAGGGTTTGTTTCTACTTTCCAGCAAAGATGGCAAATAAGAGTAAGGGTAAGAGTGAGGACTGTACCTACCGAGCTTGTCGTAGGTTCCCACTTCTGTAATACCTGCAAAGTTCAATGGTTGAAGGAGTATACATGTAGAACAAGAAAGGAGGCACCTGGAGGATATTACAGAAGCAGACAATAAATTAGTTTTGAATAGACAGGTGCAGATTGATAGATCTCACATCACTGGCAATGTTTTGAAACTTTCATCAAAATGACTCATAAATCATAACATGTTATCACTAAATTTGCTCACTTCTTGGTGTGTATAATTTTCTCACAGCTGCCAGTATGCTTTTAAGAAGAATTTCAGTATTTACAGGTGAAACTCTTTGAGTGCAAAAGGAATATTACACAGCTGGAATACACTAAATAGAGGTTCAGTTGTCACACCCAGTAGACCAACACTGCTGGATGACCTAAACTGAGATTCTCTAAATCTATTAGGGTTCTTCCTGTGAACTCAACAAAATATAAGTACAGTATTTAAGTTAGTTGCCACTGAGCCTTCAGAAACCCCCAAATTAGTGTATGCCAGCAGGTGTTAGACATAGAAATTTTCTTTATTTAACAGCCCATCCAATGAGAGGAACATCATTGATGCCAACACCCAATCACTCACAAGAGAGTGTAAGTCTATAGGATATTAGTGTAGGCTTCATTCACATCATGCCTGGATATTTACCTCACTGTTTTAAGTGATCACTTCCACAGTTCAAAGGTGGCATTATAAAGTGTATATTCCTACATTTATACAATAATCATTAATAGTGTGTCTATGAGAAGAAAATTAATTAATGTCATATCAACTGTGAATCCCTATATTGACCCCTGGTATAAAAATTTACCCAGGTTAGAAGATACCGGTATACATTTATCTTTCCAACCCAGGTGAATTTTTGTACATGGTGTGGGGTCTCCTTGCAGATTCACAGTTAACTTGACTCTAATGAATTGTGTTCCCATTCACAGACACTATTAACCTCTACTGTACGTAATTGGAAAAAAAATAGTATCATGACACCCTCAAACCCTTCATAGGATTTGGTGATAAAATTATGTTTTTTTTTCTTTAGTTGATTTAAATGACAAATCTTGTAAGTATGGGCTATTAATGAGAATTACAAAACAGAGAGAAAAATACACAATGCTCAAGAATGGCACACACAGTCTCTGAATGTTAGTGCATTATGAAATTAACAGATAGAAAACTGCTGTATCGTCATTTCGGTCAACATAGAATGAGTTTTCAGTCACAAGTAACAATACAGTGTAGATCTGAAGGTGCAATAAACAGTACTAAGGGTGCAGATAAGGGCACTGTCACGTGTATCATGCTGTGAGGACGAGTCTTGAGGAAGGAAAAGACATACAAAGCATCACCAGATTATGATTTCCTTATCAAGTCTCTCTATCAGTGAGGCTTATGAGAAAAGCATTTGTTGGTGAGGTCATATTCAAGTACTCTTACACCACGTCAATATCCATGTACTGTATAACATCTTCGTGAAATGCTTTCCCAGTCTTTCTATTACTTTCTTACACAAATCTCCAAGCCACCTGGTGTTACTACTGACACAGCATCTACACACATCTTCAGGATTATTCAGAGTACAGGTGGTCACTTTTTGAACTTGTTTTACCTAAGGTTCCTATTGGTGCAGGTGAAGGTCATGAAGGAGTCAAGTACTGTACAGTAGTCATGCCTTGTCCATACTTTTATATCTACAGTACTGTATTTAAAATTCAAGACTACAGTTGATTTTTAACCCTTTAGCTGTGGAGGTTACCCTAAGCTGAATAAAATCGTCTGGTGGTAGCCTGAATAAAATGGTAAGTGTGAGAATTACAACAAAAGGGTTGAGACACATATATCAAGGCTTAGTCTATGTCATTCACATCAGATCCTTCCTAACTAGCACACCAATGATGTATCCTTCATATTATTATGTTGAACTTTCCCCCCTTGCATTTATTTTTTAGTCACAAGTCTAACTTACTACTGTATACACTTATCTCACACAATATATATCTGTCATAAAATCACTCCTCTATACTTTTCACAATGTGTCAGACAATACAATTGTTCATAATCTGACTGACACTATAACATTCAAAATACAGACATACATTACAACGTGTCAATCCATAATTATGGATCTATTGAGCAGTGCGTGGCATAACCCAGTGTAAATTATGAGGAAAAGTTACCTGGCACGGTGGCTGACGGCGCGGGGCCTCATACCACACTGGAGGTTGGAACATGCCACCCTCACCACATCCCTCTTCGGACAGCTCGTCTTCTCGAACTCCAAAGAGAGTCTGAGGTCCGTAGCAGTATTCTCACCATGTGAGAGTGAGCGGGCACGAGACGGCAGCGTTAGTGAGTTTGTGACATGAATTTCAAAGTAGGTGGGAGATGTGGCATTGTTGAGGGAGGTGTTGGTCCGGGCCGTGATGGTTGGGTAGCCAGGAGGGAGTCGAGGTACTGCACGGTTCACAGGCGAGGGGTCTTCCTGGCGCTCCACCCGAGTGAAGTCACTGCCAAGAAAAGCCAAAAGTCATCATAGCAGTAGTATTTTTCTTAGTACTATAGGGTATTACATAATTACAGTATTTCCAATTAACTGCACTTCTTTCATTCTAAACTGGTACATCATGAATCTTCAAAATAGCTCTACTACTATACTGTACTATACTATACATCCTTCAGCATTTTTATGAAATCAGAAAAATAACAAATCCATTCCAAGCATTAATCTAGTTATCAAATAAATTAAGAAGTCACCTTCAGCCTGGACTACCAAGAATGAACATGACCCCTATGAACTAGGAGAAGGTGAGGTAAAGGCACTTAAAACATTAGAATATAGAGAATAAAGGACCAAGATAATGGCAATGAATATGAGATAGGATTGAGAAGTTGTACTATATCTCTGATGTAACTAACTGGGAAGACAAACATAGCCTACATATTAGGTAAAAAAAAAATATTCTCAAGTCATAATATGTACCTCCATGAATGCTCTGTTCATATTAAAAATAGTTGTTTATATATTAGGAAAACAGAGAAATTTAAGAAAAATACCTGAAGGTGAGAGTTTTACACACTGCCTGGCCGAGGTCTGACACGGTCCAGGAGGTGGCTGCTCGGGAGGTGACTCTCTCGAAGTTCTCCAGACACAGCTTTCCCCACACACCTTTCTTCCTCACCATCAGGTAACCTGTTAACACCCACAGTTATATATCTTGACAAACATCACCCTATGAATCACCCTATTGAACACAAACATTTTCAAATATCCCAACTTAACACATAATGATGACGGATAAAAGTTTCGGTAATAGTGGATCAGATGTCTAATAGCAAAAGGAGTTGTTCGATTTCGTTCATTTTTTCCATGACAACTTTATTTTAATTATAATTATTATTATTATTATTTTTTTAGTTTTTCTCTATTTACAATCATAAATCACCCGTAGTGGACAGGGTATGAAGAATGAGGGAAATTCCGAGGTAAAACATGGCGAAAAACTGATCATATGACACTAAAATGATATCTCTATGTGATTTGTAAGCAAATAAATTAATTATTTACCATAAATATGCAGCCGAAAAATCTGCCGTGTCAACGCATGTTGTCGTTTGCGCTTAATTTGTTTCAGTGCAACAACCAACCCACTCGGTCCAAGCATACACCCACGTAATAAAAAAAGGGTTAAAATTACACCCTGATGCTTAAAGAAAGTTGCTTTCATAGGTACCAGGTATCATAATAAGTACTTTCTGTTTAATATATGGTAGTGGGGGGTCCATTTAGGTAAGGTTATGAAGGTTTCTTTGATTAGGTCAGGTTCTAGTAGGGTCTGTGCATTGTTGAATCATTTTTATGACTTACTTTCACCCAAAGAACACCTGTGGATAAAATGAACGAAATTGAACAACTTCTTGTGTTAGCAGTGTGCTCCACCATAACCAAAGTTTCATCAAATATTCTTATAAATAATCATCTTTTGCAATATTGCATGTGGTGCCTAGCTCTTCAGAGGGTCACTAGATCATTGTTGCACTGATATAAACTAATTATTTTTTGTCTTAAATTCAGATGGTACATACACACTAACATAATTCTTCCCCTTTCTCCTAATTTTTATAAGCCAAAGGCCAAACATAATAACAAAATTACACATACAGCCCAAATAATAATAATAATAAAAAATACTTTACAAACACAACTTCAGGAAAATCTAGGGAGGTGTTAAAAATCTGACCTTCATCGTGGTAGTTGAGCGAGTTGGCAGCGGGCAGATCTGGGGCAATGGTCACACAGGTCTTCTCGTCGTCGCCTCCCTCACAGTCTGTCGAGCCATCACACACCTGACTCTGCTCAATACACTGACTCGACCCAGAGCAAATGAACTGACCCGGCTTACACCATTCTGAGAGAGAGAGAGAGAGAAAGAAAGACGGGATGAAGGAAATCTGGTTATTACAGGGCGGATGCAACACTGTAACTGTATAGAGAAGGGTAGAGAGGTGAAGGGTGTAACAGTGATGATGAATTGGCAACACCGTGTACGTTAGAGGCTGGTGGAAAATTGGTCAATCCAGTGTTAATATATTTAGTGTAATTTGTTAATATTTAGTGCTAACTGTTTATATTTAGTGTAATCTGTTTATATCTAGTAACACGGGTGATGGTGGTAGTAGTGGTAATGGGTCGTAGGTTGTTATTAGTGACCGAGCATATGTTCACAGATAATGCCAAGTTATTCAGGGAAATTAAGAAGGCAGGGCTTACCACCACTATCTAGCCAAATATCCACTGGCTATTTTACCGATGATTAAGTACAGTGTAACTTTAATGTGTGTTGTATATGCATTACTGTATTGTACCATGTGAATAATTACTACAGCATTTTACTATAGCGTATTTGCATATGATTTTACCATGTAAATATGTTTGAATTTACTAACTGATTATTACCAATATTGCTTTAACATCTCATAACTTATCAATGTAATATATTAAAATATCTTGAAGGGTTCTAAAATAAAGCTAAGCTAATCTAACCCCACAGCCGTTCTGACCACAGCCCCAGCGGGTCCTAGTCATAATACAACATAAAGAATCTTAGGATGCCTGGGCTACTTCAGAGTTCATTTCTTGGAAAAAAAAATTAACCCAGAATTATCTCATCTCTCAACACATTTGTATCCATCACTCACTGTCGTGGTAATTTTTGTCTGGCTAGTTCAATGTGTGACATTTAGGGGGTCAGAGTCGACACATAATGGTCTATTAGAATCTGTGTACTTTACAACCACAAAGATGTTTATTGTAATGTCTGTAGACCTAAAGTTAGCATCCACTCAATAAAAACACCCACATGACAATGATATTTACAGTGGTTATGGTATACAGTACATAGTTATATCCAATAAGTGTGAGGAATTTTAGAATGCTGTTCAGAACGAAGATAGTAATAGGTAGGAAAGATAATTATAAGTAACTATAGGAAGGTGAATAGTAATAAATGGAGAGAATCAGTAAATAATAATATGTAGAGAGAAAGAAACAGTAATAACTCACCACAATCAGCCTCATCAGAGTGGTCCCAGCAGTCAACGATACCATCACAGATCTTACGGTTGAGGAACTTACTCCTGAGGAAGTCAGAGCAGGTACAGTTCACCTCGTCAGAGTTGTCCCGGCAGTCCTGCATTAGGTTACAGCGGGAGAACTCGGCAATGCACTCACCACTCCCACACCGGAATTGTGAAAGGTTCCTGCAGGCTTGAGTGATGGCAAAATACGTTTATTAATATACCAAAGATAAGTCATTATTCAGTATCTGTTATATCAATCTATGCAGCCTAATGATGGTCAATAATAGTTACTTCACTATATGACGGTACTGTAACTATCCCATTCTGAGAAAGTCTTTATATCAGTCTCATTGGTGATTGATGATAAAAGCCATTTATATTTATTAATACACTAAATAAAGGTAACTAACACATTCTAGGATAATCATTATACCATTTCAGACTACAGTATACTAACTGTTGTTGGATCTTTAATTCTTTACATTACTTTAGTAATGAATTACATTACTGTGAAATGCGTATACGTATTGTATTTTTTACTTGTGAGAAGGGATATATATATAAGTGAGTACAGTACACTGGGTGAAATTATCAAAATAAAACTTATATAATACTGTAGTATATAAAACTGCTCTGCATACCTGGAGCTGTGCGATTATTGGCAGATAAATGTTCAGTGGTGCCTGTGTGAACACTGTATGACACGTCCACAGAAGTTTCAGTTCTCTCTTCTGCTGACGACATCATTCCATCGCCTATGACTGTAGTCTTGATCTCATTGTCCTCATCGTCAAGCATCTCATAAGGTCGTGGTGTTGTTGCGAGTCTTATTGGAGACATGGGGCGCGTCATGACGGGGAAGAGTTCAAGATTGAAATTTCGGGTGGTGGAAGGTTTAGGAACTTCAACCGTTGTGGAAGCTTTAGTGGTTTCATAAATGGTTGATGGTTTAGTAGTGTCAAGCGTGGTGAGTTGGGTGGTGTCTTGTGTGGTAGGCAAGGTGGTGCGTGGAGTGGTCAGGGGGGCTGTTGTTAAGGTATGGTTATCCTGACTCTCAGGGGTTTTGGTCATATCATTAAGATACTGAAAGATAATTTCATTGATGGATTCCAGAACATTGCTGCGACTGTCAGCAGTGTGGGTCGTCTGGTAAGTGGTCTCAGACTCCGAGGTTGTCGTCTCTGTTTCTTCATCTGGTGCATCCATGGTGGGGCGAGTCTCATTTTCTTCCTCCAATGATATGGTGTCGAAAATTTCTTGAAGAAGTTCTTCCATTGACTGTCCTTCTTTTAGCACAAATGTATGGATGGGTGAGTTCATGTTGAGAGAACCTGGAGAAGATGATGCAGGTGATCTGCTGGAGACACTGATAATCTGGGGGTTGGAGGAGCTTTTTCCACTGACACCTGTCATGAAGAGAGTTGTGTATGGAGAAGACATTGCAGGTCGGAAAGGGTGAGGCGAAATTTGTGGTGGTGTAGTTGTTAAAGGTTCAGAAGACAATTTCTCTAGCACTACAGTAACTGGATTATTCCTTAACGCTGTACCTAATTTTGGAGAGAACTGACTGGGCTGCTGTTCTGTGTTGTCACCATGCAGAGGAATGTAAGTATATTCTGGAGAAGGACGACTTGGTACAACATTAGTGTTTTTCAGGAATGGGGCTGCAGTCGTGTCCCTGTGAGCAGTAGATCCGTGAAGGTGCTGGAAGAATGGCGTCATTAATGATGTTGAAGTTGTTGCTTCTGACTGGGTGGTTGAAGGTAAAGGAGATTCTGTTGTCGATCTGTGGTTGTTCACAGCTTCTAATGCAGCTTTCTCAAAATACTGCAGCTGTTGTATGATGGCAGGATCTGAGAGGTAAACTTGACTGAGGTTTCTCAAGAAGGACCAAAGAGATATTGACTCATGAGTTTCACCATCAAGTAGTGGAGCTGGCGAGTCTGGTACATCAAGGTCAATTGGTTTACCTCTTCTGATCGAGAAACCTTGACCGGACTCGTCACCATTTGGTGCTCTATCAACACCGCGGTAGTTTGAACTCTGCAAGACAGCTTTAAATGCATCTTCTAGGAATTTAGTATTAAGTCTGCGTGAACCTCCACGTGTGGGCGTCATGGGAGTTGTTGATCCCCCCTCGGGCGTCGCCTGAAGATTAACGATCACAACATTGGGGTAGTTGGTGCGGGTTCTGTTTACCATCATATACCTTACATTGTTGCCGGAGATTACTGGAACTGTCACATAATTCTGATCATCAGTGAAGTCTTTTAGAGGCGCTGGTTCACTGCTTGACTGAAAAATTGGGCCATACTGATCAGTGGCAGCATATTCACCAGTGTGTGTATATGCTGGTAAATCAGGTCTATAAACAGGTGCCAGTGAACTACTGCTGGCTGGTCTGTAAACAGGACCATAGTGACGTGTGGTTTCTTGTTGTGTGTTGACACCATACTGATCTGTCGACCCATACTCTATATCCGTGCTGGTTGATGTTACAAGCTCTGTGTTCAGTATGAGAGGCTTCCTAGTGGTGAGAAGGTCCCAGATGCTGAACGATGTTGTACCTGCTGAAGGTGCGGTGGGCGATGACGATGAACTTGGATACCGGAACTTGTCGTGTGGAAACTGAATTCCTGGTGGTGGTCTGGGTGGCAAGGGTTGCCTGACACCAGAGTAGGAGGTCACGTGAGGAGACCCGGGAGTGTGCATGGAGACGGTTGTTGCTGTGTTACTGACAGATGAGGACTGAGATGTAGAGTATGATGGACGTCTTTTGTTATGTTGCACAATGCTCTGAAATGTTACAAGTCGATCCTCAGAGTTCAGGGGATGACTGTTTTGAGCTTCAGGACGTCCCTGACCACTACTGAAGGTTGACTCAGATAATGGGATCACACGGTGAGGTAGTTGAGGCTGAGGACGAGTCACTCCTACAGTAGATTGTGGCCGTGGTGTTGTGAAGAACAGCAAGTCTGCCAAGAAGGCATGAAACTCTTCTCTTGATGGACTTCTCTTGGTGGTGATCATCCTGTCATCTTGGCCTGAGGAACCTTCACCAGCAATACCAACTCTCTCATTGAACTGTACAGACACTGTTGTTGGCCGTGGCATGGATGACGTAGTTATGGTAGTTGTTGTTGTTATGGGTGTGGTAGTGGTAGTTGTGGTAAGAGTCGTGGGACTAGTAGTAGTTGTTGTTGTTGTTGTTGTTGTCATTGTTGTGGGTTTAGTTGTTGTTGATGGAGGGATAATAATGATGTCAGGACTGGCTACAGGTCTGGAGGCTGAAGGCAACTCATGGGGAGGTCTAACAGTTGGGTTGTAAAATGAATGTGTATTGTCTCGTGTCGGTGAGTTAGGAGGGGCTGGGGAGGAAGAGGGGCGGCCAGGTGGGGCGGGTCTAAAGGCGTTGAAAGGATCAATGGGCCGCCACGGACCAAACTGGTAGATGAGGTTGGCTACTGTACTGCTCACAGGCTCATCTACTTCCTGTGAATGAAAAAATAACTTAGAATAAATATATTGTATTAACCACACATCATAAAATCTCCTCACTATTCTGATCATCAGCATTTTAGTTTTAGAAATTTCAATCAAGGGACTGGTTATTTACAGAGTCAATTTACTTTTACTTTATTAATCATATACTGTATATTTAAACTCGAGAACATTCAGGCACCATCATCAAGTGTTTTATGTACCTAGAGTGCAGGGGCTGGTCCAGGGCAGGTTCCCTGGGGGTCCGGATTCTTTAATGCAGTACAGTGGTCCCTCCATTAACCAGCGGTTTAATTTACAAGATTTCAGTTCACGAATTACCCCCCATAAGGATTTTCAGTTCTATTAACGAGTACAACTTCTATTAACGACAGCCTTACGAGAAACACGCCTTGGTGTGAGCATCAGCTAATCGGCTAGTCCACCAATACAGTAATTGGTTCTATGTTTACATTCGTTTCCAGTGGAGTAAACATCAAGAAAGCTGTGCTCTTGAATATTTTTGCATTTTTTATATCAAAATTATTGGTCATTCTGAAATTTGGTTAATATATTGATAATATACAGTGCAGAAATTATTAAGAAATATGAAGAAGGCATTAGAACCAATGCACTCTGTAAAGAATATGGCATGGCATGTCATCATCGACTGCCTCTACAATCGGCTGTTTGCTATGTAAACAAAGCTGCGGGTAATACGACACCTCAAATAATTTAAAATACAGTATTCAATGTTTTTTATTTATTATTGTACAGTTTGTTTATATTTAAAGTTATATTAATTCTATTACCAGTATACAGTACTTTGTATTTACTTTTCCAGTGAGTTAGCACCAATTACCCAATATCCCATTGAAATAATAGATTCAGTTAACGTCTGACTCTGTGGAACCAATTGTGCTTGTTAATCGAGGGACCACTGTACTGTATTGCACTCAGGCGTTTATGTATAGTAAAACGTAATTACTACTAACCTCAGAATATCTCCTAATATCAAGTGCACATGACTTCAAATTGGCCCCAAAATGCCATAATATCGGTCAGATTTAAAAAAAATTCTGAGGGCTTACAGCACCACCCCCAAAACCCCCAGCTGGGTGGGTTCGCTGTGCTCGCCATGTTCCTCCATTTATAACTTCTTGATATTCCTGGATCCGCCCCTAGAGTAAGCTCACTCTATATCAACCTTTTACTCAATCAGAATAAATCAGGAGGAAATAAAAAAAAGTATTTACATTATGCTTCACCGCAGGTTCGGTATAGATAGTTAAAATTTTGGCCCATCTGAACAATGGCAGACACAGCCAGAGCACATGTTGTGTTGTGGGTCACACTTCTACATAGGGGGGGTGTGTTGTGGGTTACCTTGATGTAAAGGATTGTAAGAAGCAGTGTCAACATGAAAGCTCACCGGTTGGGGCAGCCCCTCCTCCTCCTGCCTCCTGGTGGCAGATCCTGAAGGTTTACGGATCATGATAGCGCCCCCTGGAGCCTCTTGTGTCCCTTCCACTTTGATTACCTGTACGTCGTCGTCGTCTCTTGGCTTTGACAATGAAGACGTTGACGACGACGAGGGTGCTGCGGCCACCAACCCTCCAGCCTCTGTTTCTCCTGCACAATGAGGACAATTTTGTGTTATACTGTATTTAATCTCAAACATCTACAAGTTATAAATAAATGGGGGATTGTTTTTTGGGGTTTTGGTGAGTTGGGGGTAGGTCTACATGGCTTATGCTCCATTCTTTACGAATTAATTTTTCATAGCAGCATCAGCAATTCTATAAACCTCTCGGTCACTGATTGATGCTAAACCAAATGTGGGGAGAAAGTTGGATGGCTGATTCACCCACTAATTCACTCTTAACAAATAGACAGCAGGAATCTGGATACACAGGACTGTCTTCATCCAATATACTCAAGAAAAACACTTAATAGAACACTGGCAGATTTTAGTAAGGTGGTGTAATGCCTAACCTGAGCTAGGCCATCCATCCTTGAGATAAGTTCCAATAAGTTTCATGTTGTCAATGACTCATTGTTTATATCCATTAAAAATCACGGTTTAGGAAAGTATTACAACCAGTATAAATAGACTGCGACTGTGCCGTGGCATTCACCTCTGCCTCTGTAAACAACTGAATTTACAGTAGAGAGAAATAAATAAATAAATCTTCTCTGTTATCTTTTAATGCAGGGATGGGAAACCGAGGGTGTTGGCTTGCAACCATATTTGAATCAGTGTATTTTAAGGGGACATGTTTAAGATTTATTTTTATACTGGTTCAATCATTCTTATTTTGTTTTTCAATAAGCATCTTTAGTCTGATTGTACATTCATGGAGGTTCTTGAGTTGCAGTTTCAAAAGGGCAAGAAACACACTGTTGATAAAGGTGCTGGTCTGATAGGTTTCTATAAGGGTCTTCCTGAAGCTCAGATTCAAGAGATACAGGAAAGGGCAAGGTGCACACTCTGTCTTTTTAACTCAACACTCATCTGCCAGCAAGAACTTTCCAAGATGAAGCATATCAAGAATCATCTCTGCAGTCGCCTTGAAGATGATCATCTCTGTGACCTAATGAGGGCTGTGGCATCTACTCTTCAGGAAGACCTCGACAAGTTGGTTGCTGCACACAAGCAGTACCATACATCATATGAGCTTCATTTTGTTTAGTTTAATTTCAATTCAGTTCATTTCAGAAGTCGCCCTTGAATTTTCACCCCTTCAGGAGTAAGACAACCAGATCCCAGCGAAAGAAATATAGAAAAAATAAAAAATAAAAATAATGAATAAAAAAAGAGCATATAATAAGGAGAAACGATTGGGCTTTACAAAGTATGTTAAGTCTAAAAATTCTCAATCTGATTATAAAAAGCCATGTGGGACTGCACTAGGATTTATTTATTTATTTATTTATTTATTTATTTTTTATGGGATGAGCCCACCTGGGCACAGGTCACTGATCCACATCAGGGCCTGGAGGACAAAATAATAATAATAATAATAATAATAATAATAATAATTTATAAAATAAATAACAATTATAGTAATAAAATAAAAACAAATAAAAATAAATCAAGAGTGAGAAACAATATATGTATGTTGTGTTGTCAATAGTAAGAGAAACAATTGAGACCCTACAATTGTGTGTAAATGAGGCAGAAAGTCAGTTCAGCAACCTGGGACTTGGTCACAATTTTTAGATGCCATATGGCAGCAGGGTCTACCATTAGACAACACATTATGCTTCCAATATCTTCCCAGGCTGTAGTACCTCCCTGTTTGATAACTGTCTACTATCATGTCCATTAAATCTGCAAGATTATTAATAACTTGAGAAAAATAATAGGTGGTCTGCGAAGAGCCCTCGTGAGTCTGATGTGGCCCCAACCTCAAAAGCTTCCATCCCGGTTTTACTGAAGTGAAAACAACTTGGATGCATAACATTCATCTTCAGATACTGTAATATTTACTGTTTACTGTTATTCTCTGGACCTTAACCTCTCCTCTCAGAAACGGTTCTACACAACATTGAAGCAACTGTGTTGAGGTGAGTACTTACTGGCCAGATTAAGTGAGTCTATATCAACGGCCACATTGTGGAAGGCTACAGGCTCCAAACTCATCAGCTCTTGTAGCAGCACGTCCTGCACCGCCAGCTCTGTGTTGTCCACATGGCTGCCGGGATAAGATATATATTTATTAATTACAATCGTCATACAAGTTCACATTGATTCAGGATGTACATACCGTAGGCAAGAGCAAAATGTACAGTCGCCACAAAATGTCCTCAAACACTCTAAGGGTTATACAATATGATCAACGAACAAGAAATCTGAATATTGTTCTCTGAAGACGTTACTGAAAATAATATTACTTCTTTTCGCCTGTAAATACTGTACTATAAAGACAAGCAACACATATAATTATGAAATATCGAACCAGGCATACCAGCCATTCTGAGATGACACGAGCCATAGAACTTATAACCTAGTCTGTCGTGTCCAGCTATTGGAGAACATTTTGTGGCGAGTGTACATAGTGCAGGTATATAATGTATATAAACTGTGCAGGTATACAATTTACAAAGACAGTGCATGTGTATGAACAATGGTAAACAGGAAGTTGACCTGACCAAGGATAACCCAAGAAAGCCACCATTTGCTTATTTCCATCATATAATACTTCAGTCCCTTAACTGTGCACCCAAGAGGAAACAAACAGTACAGGTACACACAGGGTTGTAACAATAATCACATGACGTTGTCTTCTGTTATTTTTAAACATGTTATGAAAGACTTATCTCTTAAATCAACTTAAAGGTTACAGAAATGATAAATAATATGAAATAAATTCAACATAACTATGTGACTGATATATACAGGTAACATTGTTTATATAGATCCCACCTGGGCATCTTCCGTCGGTCTAAGGCGAGTCTGAAGTGCATGGTGAGGCCGTTAGGGTTGTCAACGGGGTTCTTCATGAAGCGTACTACTTTGGCTTTCCTCAGCGACCCCTTCAGGAAGCTGTTCTCATAACCTCTCCAGCTGAAATAGAAGACTTTAATTATACAGTATTACCAAACAATAAGAGTAGTCAATCTAGTCAATGATCCACATCTTTGTCACACAACTTTATGATACAAGTACTGTATATATGAGCTTATGGTGCCAAATCAAGAACCAGTAACCGGTGCTTCCCAACAGGATTAGATCGAATACTTGACTAAAAACAAAACAATTCTCATTATATACCTGAGCAGTTCATTTAGGATACATGTACCATACAATGTGTAGTAGGATAAGAGGAGGCAATTTAATCTAGCACTGTACAGTATTGATAAAAATGTATAGATGTACTTGTCAAATTATTACACATATTATAGACAAAGCTAAACTGGTGATTATCTTACCATTTTCTCGTACTTGGTTGCCTTAGCTTTAAAGGCAGGAGAGTCGAGCACAGCCAGGTCTTGTATCCATGAGTCTCCCCGAGTTACCCTCAGCTTCCCACCATACCGCACCTCATCTGTCACACAAAAGCAAGGAAAAATACTTAATGCAACTTACCAGTCTACAAAAATCACTGGCCGCATCTTTAAATGTATAGAAAGTTAAAGTTATAAGTGGAATAAATTATGGTAATGTCTGAAAACAACACTACCACCAGAAGGAGTTGTTTGAGCTTATTAATTTTTCCCACAGATGTTCTTTGGATGATAGTAAGTAATAAAAATGATACAACAAATCACAGATCTAATAGAACCTGACATAACCAACCAAAGAATGTTACCTAACCTTTCCCAACTTCCTAACGGGAAGGATATACCATCACATTAAACAGAAAGTACTTATATTGACTTTTTTGTCAGTTGCAAAGAATGACATCACGCAGTGACTCAGCACAAATTTTACAGGAGTACAGTATTTACAGTAAATAATTAATTTCTTCATGTACAAAGCATGTAGACATCATTTTAGTGTCATATAATCTGTTTTCACTGTGTTTTACCCCAGCTATTTCTCTCATCCGTCATGCCTTACCCACTACAGTTGATTTATGATCGTGGCAGAAAAATAAAAAGGTTCTTTCTGTTTAGTATACCGGGGGTTCCGGTAAGGAAGTTAGGTAAGGTCATGTAGGTTTGTTTGGTTGGGTCTGTTTTTCACACCCACAAATGTTAAGTCGCGTTTATTTTTAAAATATCAAATTTTTAACATATTTCCACAAACTACAACAGTGTCCACTATAATATAAAGGTAAAAATCCGGTGTCTTTATAATTTTTTCAATAAATTTCGCTCGCAGGATAGTCCTATATAATTACCAATAAAAAGCTACTTATAATTAAAATAAAAAGTTACTCCCTCTTATAAAATACCTGCACTTACTATAATGAAAAGAACATGTGGAAAAAATAACGAAATAGAACAACTCCTTCTGGTGGTAGTGCTGTTCTCAGAAATTAAATTATCAAACATTAGAATAGTTGAAATAATTGTTCATACTCACACTTGATACCCTCATCCTCGTTTGTTAGAACTGTAAAAAAAAGGTGGAAATATTAAATATAAAATCAAGAAAATAGAGAATACTTAATTCCACTAACACAGGTACAACAAGTTTTAACATTTAATAACAGCATATCGGAAACGACAAAACGGGAAAGTTGACGGAAAGAGAGTGCTAGTGTGACGCCGCCCTCAGGGTTACCTCCAAGATATACAGCTATGCCGACGATGCCGAGGACGGCCAGAATCACCAGGAGCACAGCACACCCGAACACCACCCGGCATAAACTTCGGCTAAAATGACGCCGGTAGGACTCCTCCGAGCTGGTGGTGGAGGCGTTAGACCCCCACAGACTATAGCTGCAGGAGGAACAAGGTGGGTAATGTGTGCTCATGATTACAATATGTTATGCACAATGGCTTTAGTAACTTATGCATCTATATAGTAAATTGCACATAAAAATATAGAAATTATAAACGAATTGAGTAAATTAAGATGCTGCCTGAACTTCAAATAATCTTATTTTTTTTAGACCTGTGATTTAATGTCTGGTTTACGACTTCTTACCGAGTGAACACACCACAAACTTTCTGCACTTCCTCCTACGACCTTCCACATCAATATACCTCATCATTCAACCTCCACCTCTAAAACTTTCTTATACAGCTTCCACATTCATACATTTCAACATACTTTCCAAAAAGCTTCACACACACACCTATGGACATCACGTGGCTTAGACTAGGAAAAGAGACCAGCCCTTGCCACCAACTGCAAACTATAATTTGTATTTTCAATTCATGTTCCTTCTCCTTTTGGTAATGAAGGATTTTTTTAAACGATCCACCCACCTCGTGTATTTTAATGTAATAAGTCATTTCTGTCCAATGTGTATTTTTTCAGCCTTTTGGCTGCTGAACTTTTTCAATAAGCCGCTACTTATTATTATTACACACACACATAATTACCATCATTGATCAAGCTTGACATTAAACTAAAATCACCTATTTTCACATTTTACTCTCCATATTTTGTCACAGTGTCCTTCTCAACATTATAAGAACATATTAGACGTGCAATTATATTCCATTTCTGATTCTAATTTCCTCATTCCCGGTGTTATTACTTCTCCTAACTCTACTTTACTGACATTAAAACTCTCCGTCACACAGCCAGTACATCCGCGGTCGGCTGCCTGCGTCACCCCAGGCAATCCACCTGCACACCCTAGCCTCGCACAGGTTTTTTTTTCTCCATTACCCAAGTTCTTCGGGAGAGGCTGTTGCACTACACATTATGTTTTCCTTGTAAGGAATGCTGTATTAGTTCGAGACAAATTATAAATTATCTGATATATTTATAAACGATTTGAAATTCTCAGTCATAAAGTATGCAGTCATAAAGTATGCTGGTCAAGAATGTTCTCGGTCCGAGGCGAAGCGCGGAGATGGCAGTTCCGGTGAGGGCATCGTGCTTGAATATTTTTTTTTTTTTTTTTTGCTCAGAAAACGATACACGTATGCAAGGTGACGATTATTGAAGTTAAAACCAACTTAAAACAGGTAAGTTTGGGTGCTTCAGAGTGAAGTTATCTAAATATGGAAAGTTTTGATATGATGAGTTAATTCCAGTCAATCAAGTATTTGTTAACCTCAGAATCAAAACACTGGCGTTGCACCAGACTCACACCCATGCTCAGCGCCGCACCCACCTATAAACAATGACAGCTGCAGTGAAGCTATAGCTCACGTTTGTACTGGCAACACTGTATATTCATGACCGTCATAAGGACTCGTTACCAGACATTGGAGAAGTTATCCTAATTTATAATTATCAGTGTTCCTATTACTATTTATATCATTAAAAATCTTATTATTATTATTACCCCTGTGTTTCTTACCAGTTTAGTATAGCCTGAGGGCATAATGGTTAAGCTACACTTCAAAAAAATCCAAACCCGAATGAAGAAAATGCTCTTTGCCAGTGCTAAAGACAATTCTGTGCTCAAATCAATTATGACAGTAATTGGCATGTTTTCCAAGCAGTTTCCACTTTTCATCCGCATAATGCAGTTTGTGTGAGGCTACCGTTATGGTAGTGGTGTGGGCCAACGTGGCAACACAGCCTAGCGGGGCTACCTCACGCCTCGTCCAGATCACTGTATTTTGGTCATCGGATACACGTTTTGCTTCCTGTGTATCTTGACTCAGAGAGAGGGGAGAATTCAGCGTCATATTATCAGACAAGAGAGAGTATAAACGTCACTTCAGCAGCCATGTAAGAGAGAAAGAATGTCCCACAGGATAAACACTTTGATCCCTGTCTATCTTAAACCCTTCACTACAGGGACGCCACTTTTGATATTTTATTTGGTTAACGCCAGACGATTTTATCAAGGACAGTGAGAGCCCCGTGCACAAGGGGTTAAATAGAAGTAGATGGACAGGAAAGGACAACAGGAAGCTAAAAAGAAAAGAAGAACTAAAATACATAGAAAAGAACTCCAGACAAAAAACAAGGGAGGTAAAGTTAAATTAGGTAAACCGTTAAGGTACACTAGGCTACAACCCCCAGTTTCAGACCAAGGTGAGGATGAACACCACGGCCAAGCATGTCCAAGTGATCCTCTGGGGGGTGCCTAAAGTTCATTTGATCCCCTAAGGTGCCTAAAGTTCATTTGCTACCCGAGGGGTGCCGTAAAGTTCAGGTACACTTGGGGGGGATCAACTGAACTTAAGGTTAGATTGGGATAAGTTAGGTTGGGTTAGGATGGATTGAGTCACGTTAGATTATGTTAGGTTAGGTGAGGTTATTAACGTCTCATGAAAAGGGGGGTGGCAACGAATTTACTTACATCCACAAAGCCAGAAATTTGAAGCTAAGAAATAATAATTCAATAAGAATTAGTCAATAAATAATAGTCAGGAACTTTAAAATAAACTTTTTGTAGGTGAGACAACAGAGGATGGATGTACAGTTGTGGCCTGGGGGAGTGTATACAGTACAACATCTAGACCAGATTAACCCCAGGGATGGTAGGTATATGATCCAGTCCAGTTAATGCCCAGAGTATAGACTGGCGGGTGTGTGATATGACCTACAGATGGGGTCCAGAAAGCTGTAGGGCCCGAGAAACAACCAAAAAAGTGTCCGATATAAAGTTGTAGGTAACGAAATCGAAACTGATAAAACATTATTATAGAAGCTCTCGGTAACATAATGGGACACACTGTTAGAAAATACATAAAAAAAATATATGGAGTTTTATACCAGTTATATGCCTGCTTTTTGTGAGTTTTTCATAGGTTAAGAAACCACTTTTTATAGCGACCTTAAAACTACAAGAGAATCCTGTATTTCTACCAATAAAATTAACAAGTTATCAAACCGAAATGATCCAGAATCTGGGATGGAAGGATCAACACTTTCTAACCTAACTTAACCTACTCAACTTAACATTTCCCTTGAAGTGTATTATCAATAAACGCAGTGACAAGTGAGAAACAGCAAGGCAGACAGTGAGAGGCAAAACTAATGTGTACTAACTTCCTTGTCCAGGGCTCCAGGCAGTAAGCTAGTTAACATCTAGGAAACATATAAATTAAAACCTGTAGCCAGCTTTAGAGACGTTAATTAAGGACACATGTACAGGCGATGATAGTTAACGGTGAGCAATTTAGTCGCGTATTTGATGGTCTTAGTTAACTTGGTGTCGCATAGTAAAAACTGGCATGAAAGACGGTACAGTATAGGAAATCATCATTATATACATTCTACTCCTCATTTTATTTGACCTTCTTAAATATATATATTTTTTTAGGTATTTAACCATATTTTATCGTCATCAATGTTTATGTAATATTAACATACATAAAACTGGTTAATCATACGTCATGTTCAATATACGTGTGCATATGTTCAAAATTCTAGATTGAGAATGAAAGTAAAATTAATAACTGCAGACTCATTCACTATTTTTTTTATACTTGGTGATGTTGATGCTTT